CATATTATGATAATTTCTAAGTAATGTCTGGTTGCTATGCTAGGGTCTGCTACTTATGAGTAATAAAGTAAACGTATTATCATACTATGATAATTTCTAAGTAATGTCTGGTTGCTATGCTAGGGTCTGCTACTTATGAGTAATAAAGTAAACGTATTATCATACTATGATAATTTCTAAGTAATGTCTGGTTGCTATGCTAGGGTCTGCTACTTATGAGTAATAAAGTAAACGTATTATCATACTATGATAATTTCTAAATAATTTGCCTGAAGCTTCTAAGTTTATTCTACTTCATTTTAATTAGTATAGACAATTGGGCAAAAGCTAGGAAGGTATGCGTATCATTTTCTCTATTTTTGTGATCAATGACTCAAAACTGTTCGACTATACTCATATCACGTACACTTTTCCGTTATATTGTTGTAGCTGTATTTCGTTTTCGGTTACAGACATTTAAAATCAGTTTGGTATAACCTATGACGTTCAAAGGCGTAAGTCGAAACGTCGTGTACAAGTAATTAAACATTTTTCTGAAACTGTTTGTCGTCTTTATTAAATAAATTATGCGTGTGTTTGTTTGTTTTGAATTTCGCTAACTGTGTTAGCCGTCCCTCAGGTTTATAAGCAATGTTATGTGTACTTCTTGATGGATTCTCCTGAAGATGGTGGAATTATTTACACCGAATCATGTAGAGTTTTAAATTTCTTTTAACTTATATATTTTTTTATTTTTAATCTTTACAAGTAAATGATTGTGCAAGAAAAAAAAACGTTGATATTCGTTTTATTATTTTCTTTAAATTATTTGCACAAGAAATGTCTGTTTTACGTTTTACAAATGTCGCTTGTAAAAAGTTTTGCGAAAGTGCTATCGACACATTAACATTGTTCAAAATAGGACTTTAAAATGGCACTTCTCCAGCCCATTTCTTTTTAGAAACTAAAATTACGATACTTCCTTTAACTGTTTTTACTTTGTATTAGTATTTGTAACCAGACCACACTACCTTATGCAACACATAGCCATTAAGTTTCAAGTACAGCCATCCCTAATCTAGAACTGTTGACCAAAGGAAAGAGTAACTAGTAAACAGTGCCCACTGCCTGTTAGGCCCTGTGTGGTTACTCTTTTAATGAGAAATTTCTTGAATAACTTAAGGTTTTAAAGTATACGAAATGTAATTACAATATCTGATTTAGAAATTATGGAAACTACATTTGAGGTTCATAACTGGTAGGAAGTGGGGTACAACAGCTGCTTAAGCTTTAATTTCATCTCGCTATTCACATTTTTCTGTATCAACTGAACAAAGCTTTGCTCTTGTATTTATAACAGTGTACGGAGCTCGTAATTCTAACCACACTCCGATATACAAAGCATGGCAAAACATATTTGCCATTTTTTTCAATTCTCTGTTGCTGGTTCTAGCGGGAAATTTTCAGATCGCTTTCACCTTTCTTTACATTTAGCAGAGATCTTTTTTTTTTTCAAATAAGATTTCAAACGTAATCTAGTTAACTAACACTGAAGCATCTCACTTAAAGTAACCCGATCATCCAGGCATCACGTTACACTATCTTGTTGTTGTTTTTTTCTTTTTATAGTGCCGGAGGCCGGTATACTTGGAGAACGGGACCTACTTGTAAGCAGTGGAAGCTACATCAATCTGACGTGTATAATCAGACAGAGCCCCTCGCCGCCAGTGTTTGTATTCTGGTATCATAACGACCGCATGATTAATTACGACTCGTCTCGTGGGAAGATCACGCTACAAAAGGCAAGTGAAGATACCGCCATGAGCACCCTCTATATTAAGAATGCCAAAGCCTCGGACTCGGGAAACTACACTTGCGGTCCCTCGAACGCAGGTGCCACAAGCGTTCTTGTACATGTGGTCAATGGTACGTTTTAACACTAGAAGTTCTGAATTAAACATTTTCTGTTCTAGAAAGCTTCTTTTTGCTTTGAGGTTTTTCTTTTCTTTCTTACGTTGACATTATGTCAGATAATGAATCAAAGCTATACTCTCTCTTGTATTTCGACATTAAATCATGAAAGTAATATATCTATTAACTACATAATTCGCATCTCATTTTTAAAGCTAGCGAACAGATAATCTGTACTATTTATGGCTGTAAACATTGATTATCCAAAGCAATAAATATTCAAACTAATAAATGTCGTGATATGACACAACATACCGCGGTTAAGCTAAAGGATGAGTTACAACATTACAAAGAAGGGGGGTTCTTATGTTAATAATACTTTATCATTTTTCATTAATCCAGTATTCTCATTCAGTCTATCAAGATTTTTAAGTATTCGAACACGTATTATTTTTATAAATAAGATCGCTCTGAGAATTGTAATAAGTATATACAACTCTACGAAAAGTTGGCTAAAAACACAAGGAAACACATCTATGAAAAACCAAAATACAAACCATAACATTTCAACTGAAATCATTTCCATAATATTCGTACTTTGCCAATTTGGTAAAAACTAAACTTCATAGCTTTGAATAATAATTTTTCTTTGTAGCCTGAAATGCAACTTATAGAACAGTTGTTGAATATGCGATTATGCAGTTTTCTTTGAAAGAAATAACAGTACGATATGATGATCCTAGGGGTCGCTAGTTTGAGCTTTCCAAAGCAATGTTTGTTTGGAATTGTCGTAATGTAGAAATACTTCGAACAAGTTAGAAGTAAAGTTTACTTGATTGTTATCAAAGAACAAAGTAAGAATCAATTTATCAAACATACCGTTGATTTTAACAAAAACGTTATGATTGTTATGGTATGAACGCCCTGGCGAAGTATGGTTACAATCAGATACATTTGTTATAAGATAATGTTGTTGGTATGGTTATGTGGGTTGTAACGCTAAAATTCTGGATTCGATTCCTGTGGTGGCCACGGTACAGAGAGCCAATTGTGAAGCCTTATTTGTAACAAACAAACAATCTGATCTCTGTATATTTTGTTACCAACATCTCTAATATTTCATGCCACTTCCTGTTTCTTAAATGTAATATATAGTTCTTCATACATTTATTTTTGTTTTTTGTTTTGCTTACCTCGACCTAAAATGTGTAAGTTTTTTGTATCCCAAGTTCATTTAATGAATTATTTCTAGAGTTCTGCATTTCTCTTGACTATCATTTTCAGAACTGTGTCCGATTGACTATATTTGGTTGCTATGAGATTTTCTTTCCTCAAAAATCTCTTGTGTGTGGGCAATATTATGTCATGTTTTTTTATATATTATACATACCGATATGTGTTTGTGCCACATAGAAGCTTTAGTAATTGATCTGTGGTAAAAAAGTACATTTCTCATGATCTAGATATTACATAACTACAGTATGTGTATTTCTACCAATTAGTTTTGTACAAAAACAAAATATGATGTATTATACATTCACAGTATCACGAACACGCGTAGTTTGTTTCTTATTATTTTATTAAACTTTTCTTTTAAATCTTATCTCCTTATTGGGGTATACTTCTCCACGCTTTCCTTGTAGAATAGAGAAAGTGACAGTAATTTCACGCAAAGAAAGAAACCATTTTCAAACACGTGTTTTATGAATAACGTGCTCGAGCATCTCTCAGAGTTATTAAAAACTTACTGTCCAGAGCTTCAAAAAAAAACAACAAAAAAACGTGTTGCTATTTGCCTCAAGTAATCAAAAACGATATCATAAAATATATTTGAACTGGCATATGAAATTGAATTAAGAAATACAAAGCACGTATTTTTACTAATTAATTTCTCAAAATGTATATCAGACAGCGAAGGGAAGGCAAATACTCCTCGAATGTTACGCACTCGAAAGAATACAGCGTCAGCTGAACCAAGAAAGATTGAACGTAGTTGTTTTTAATTCCAGGCCAAAAACCAGCAGCCATGCAGCACGATGCTGACTCCACATCTGCAACTGATAACTTCACTAGGAGCACGCAGTTCTTCATCTCTCTCGCCTGTACTTTATTTGTTATTCAGTGGTCGTCTTGACCTCGACACTTGAATGTCGCCACCTTTCACAGTGCCTGTTCCGTCCAGAGAAAAATGTGTTGAAGTAAGTCTAAAACTTGCGTAAGTACCAGTCGTCTTTGTTTGATTTCTCCTTCATATAGGAATTGATACGGAGTTCTCTGCCACTCAAATTTTGTTTTTATTGTTCTTTCTACTGCGATTCTTGAAAATATATCATTGTTCGGTAACGTACATTGTATCGTATATACGTGTGCGAGTGTCTTACACACAACAACAACAAAATTATTACGACAATTTATAAAGAAAATAACGATAATACTTTGTGAGTTGAAAGAGCGATGTCAAATCCCTAACATTTTATGCTCATTTAATTGTTTTTAACTCTAATTACACGTAAGAAAGAAAGGCATGTTTAGAGACCTTTCATTGGAATCTTCTAAACTCCGTTTGCGGGACAAAGTCTATATTTCTCACTTTGAAATTCATGTTAAAACTTACTTCTTTGTTCGTAATGCGAGTTACAATTATGGTGTTTGTTTTTCTTATTGTTTTTCACATACTGAATTTACAATTAAGGTGTAGAGATATTTTTGATTACTCTTTGTTGCTTTTTTTTTACAATATTTATTTAAAAACAATCTTTCTACTAAACCATAATACCTTTGTTTGCCTCGTGAAATAATTATGTGTGAAAGAAACAAGAATATTCTAATTTCATGGATGGGGAAAATGTAATTACCAACGGTTAATGTGGAAGGTCTTTCGTGCAGGTAAATATATATATACGTTCTCTGTCATAATTCATTCTGGCATCTGGAAGTCCCAAGCTGTTGTTCCAGTGACTGTGACTGTACAGTAGATGATAATTATTGACAGGTGAGTGATTAATTATATGGTAAGCCACCTTGCAATCGACACAGCGTTATCTTTGTACTGAGATTTAATGAATTCAGCAACAATAGACCCAATTAACTCAAACTCTTGTGATAATCGATGTAAATCTTTCTTTGGTGTCTAAAGATGATAAGAGTAATTTGCAAACCGTTTTGGTTAATTTTCTTGATTCGATTAGTTTAAGTGTTGTTGTTTGTTTTTAGTTCGTTTTCTTAATTAGTTTGTTACGAAAAGTGTACCGTTGCGCTTAACCTTTGTAGAACAATTAGTTGGAAAGTGTAATCATATGAATAAGGCTTAGCGAAGGATAACTGTCAGTAAAATATTTTTCAGTTACTTTTACACTAAAATATGAACCGTAATTTTTAATGTTACAGGAAACGAGTAGAATATTGCAAAATGCTAAATAATTGGGATGAAATTGTACACTATAATCATTATAAGTAAAAACGCAAAAACAATTGTACATACTTATTACTGAGTTGATAGTTAGTTCTTATCTATGTAGATAGCTTACCTTGATCAGAAGTTAATATTAATTAAACCTTTTAACAGATTTATGAAATTAATAATAACACGATCTGTTACTATCTTGCCTATTCTAATTCTCTCAATTGTTTGAGGCGCACAGCTAAAAAGGGCGTCATCAAATAGAGTATTTCAGAATATTGAAATATTTACCTTACAAGTTTCGTTAATGCGTTAAATTTAAAATATGTTTTTTCGTATTCTTGATATTTTCATTTCGAAATATGCTTCCTTTTCTCTATCTGTCAATAAAATATTGTTGTAAGGCTCTCTACTGTTTGTCGGGTTCTTTTGGATTGTTCAATAAAACGTAACGTTCACCGAGTGATAGGCCTAACTTAATAATCCCATTTTTTGCTAATTCTTTTGTACACAGAGTGCTTCTGTTTCTCTGTTACTGCGTGGCAAACACAAAGTCACAATATATAAAACTGAACTTACACAAAGTAGAGACTTATTCACTGGCTAGTGAAAACGCTCTCAATAATTTCTTGACTTCACTGATTAACACAATAATTGATAATCTATTTCAAACTGTTCTAAAAAAATTGAAGAAATTTCCAGACGTTAACTCACGCGCCAATCACCTGGTGTTAGACTTTCTTCTGATCGAACAACAATACATATTTCGAGAAACAAACACATTAAAAAAGCATAGGGAAATGAATTAACTGGGAAGGATTAAAACGTAAGTAATGTTCAGAGGTTATAAGTATATACTTACTACAAACATTTACAAGTTAACAGTATTACATTGCACACCTTTATTTGTGATAGTTAAACCACAGGTTACAAAGAATTTAATTTTTATCCATTCATATGTCTATCTGTGTGTGTTGTAAACTGGCATATGCGTTTTTACAGGAAAGTATAGTTGCATATCCGTATAGACTTGACAGATATTATGATTTTAAAATATAACAAGCCCCGAAGACAACCAGGGGCGCTCAGAAACCTCTGTTCCTCTTTACCTCTTCCAGGAAAACATAGCTGCGACTTAGGTGATCATTTTAAATAGAGAGGACGTTATATTGCTTCGTTTGAGTCTGAATATCAGGATTATTATTTCCCCAACATATTTATTTCATGTTTGTTAAAATACATGCAATTTGTTGTCTTTCTTGTGCGTGTTTGTTTTTGTGAAGTGATTTTCGTTAACAGCAATGTACCTAAATAGATCCCACTTCCTCTTGTGAGCCTTCTATAACTATAGCTCTTTAATAATAGTGTTTTTTTTCTCATCATAATTGGTTTTGAGTTTCAATTTAGCAAAAACAAAATGAATGAATATGAAAACCTAGAGAGATAGAAATTTGATTTGCATTTAGCTGGAAACTTCCAACCATTCATGTTTATGACAAAAAGAAATATTTTTCTACAAAAATTTTTTCCAACATGTTATAAAATACTCTCAAAGTTTAGCTATGTATTACGTATTATAAATGCGGTTTATTTCTACCCCAAACTACCTACGTTTTCCGCATAACACAAAACTTTAATGCTATTAAGTACACAATGCTAATATGCTTTAAACCAGAAGTCACATTGAAACTTTACTTTACACTCTATACCGTAAACATTTCGCTTCGGATTCTTCTATGATTTAAAAATTAAATAAAATATGCCCGCCACCGACACAGTGTTTACATTGAATAATGATCAAAGATTCTTAAGAGTCGACGCATTTTTTTATTGTTATGACTTAACAAGGCATTACAGACAGCTAGAGCAATTTCATTAAAGTTATAATAATATTATATAAGAAGTAAAATGTTTGTTATGACTTAACAAGGCATTACAGACAGGTAGAGCAATTTCATTAAAAGTTATACTAATATTAGATAAGAAGTAAAATGTTTGTTATGACTTAACAAGGCATTACAGACAGGTAGAGCAATTTCATTAAAAGTTATACTAATATTATATAAGAAGTAGAATATTTGTTATGACTTAACAAGGCATTACAAACAGATAGAACAATTTCATTAAAAGTTATACTAATATTATATAAGAAGTAGAATGTTTGTTATGACTTAACAAGGCATTATAGACAGATAGAACAATTTCATTAAAAGTTATACTAATATTATATAAGAAGTAGAATGTTTGGTATGACTTAACAAGGCATTATAGACAGATAGAACAATTTCATTAAAAGTTATACTAACATTATGTAAGAAGTAGAATATTTGTTATGATTAACAAGGCATTACAGACAGATAGAACAGTTTCATTAAAAGTTATATTAATATTATATAAGAACTAGAATATTAATTCTAGACACATGTTTGGATATGAATTTTTCTAGACTGAACGTCAATATCAGTAATTGTCACATTCTATGAAAATAAATCTAAGGAACTTATTAAATATTTACTTTTAGAACAAAACTTGTTCTACTTTTATCCACTGTATTTTTAGTGTTCTTCTAAGCTATATCTGCTATTTATTTTTATTCAGTTTACAAGAAACTAAATTTCATATTTCAAACCCTTCATTTTTAAGACTTCATAGTATATAAACTTTACTTAAACACTTTTACTAGCCAGTTTTAGTATGTGTAAGTAATGTCATATGTAAAACTTACATGTTCATACTGTGAAGAAGAATTGTTTGTAATATTGGTTAATAACTCAACAAAGTCTCCTTTAGTAAAGCGGTTTATATTATGACAATTACGTAACCAATCATTTCTATTTCCTAACAAACGATTATTGCCTTTAACATCTTTAATTGGCTCGTTTATGTTTTTAATGTATTTATCCACTTTCTACTGAAGATCGATTGATGTCAATAACATTTTGAATTTGCTATGTCATTCATGGGTTTATGTTTTAACATTTATCTATTAAACTGTGTAAAATATAGACTAATGTTATTTACTTCGTCTTGCGCTGAAAGGGATATTAATGTTTTGTGCTCTCTGCAATTTCAGCCTGGTTGGTCAAAGAAATATTATTCTCTGAAGCATAGGTCTTAAGGTGTGAGGCTTGGGATCGTACGACTCACGTGTCCATCTAATTCTGTCACTCCGTGGTGCTTTCAAGTGTACTATTTTGTCAAGACAATGAACGAAGAATGAATAAAAAGTGGATGTTGAAATATTTGGTGTGTTAAGTGAAACATGTCAAGATTAGATCTAGACCAACTTAAGCATGTTAAGACATTCATCTTCATCTAAAAATAGCAGTTTCATGGTGATCCCATTTAAAAACTTTTAAAACCTAACACTAACTTTGGTCGTTATCTAGTTTATCACAGATTTCGATCTAACTATTACTAGATTATATGTCGTGTGTCAACTTTATCTGTACTGAAATTTAACGATCCTTCTGGTTTCACTTTTATCATTATTCTCAAATTCCCTGGATTCAATAAAGTAATATTTTGATATTTGTTATCTGTCTTTTTTTTTGGTAATGTTTGAGTTTCTTGTTCGTTATACTATTTGGAATACTTTTTGATATGCAATTTTTTTTAACAAATGATTTAACACTAATTATGCTGTTGAATTCAAAATGATTAGGCAATATTAGTGTAGTTTATGACACAAATATACATGATATTTACGCACTTGCCTTTCTAAATCAAAAACTGAAACATGTTCAATGCTACAATTCCATGCAAGATAGCTCAAATCATTTCAAAAATGTATTACATATTAAAAACTGATTTTTCTGTAAAAATTATACCACATCAAAAGGTGGCAAAGTTATCGAGAAAAAGTGTGAAAATTAAAAAAAAAGGAAACGTGAACTGATTTTGAAAAAGAGGCCAGAATTTACAAATACTGTAAAGTTTGTGTTTCGAAGACACGAAATCCATACATTCCGTATAAAGTTGACGAATCTTGAAAATATAGAGGAATGTGAAATCGCAAACGAAAATAAGATCACAGAAATGTATAACGTATTATATCACTATACAGAGAAGAATTAAGACAATATAAATCTAATTTTCAAATATTGTGTTAAAGTAAAATATCAGAAGCGTCAAGAAACTACAATGGCATTTGACGTCGTGTAACCGATGATTTGAGAAGATCACAAAAACTGAAGGTTTCCTGAAATATATAGGGGAAGCTGTCACGTTTCAACTACCTCACTGAGCTAGAGAACTATGGGGTTTATAAACATTTCATCTGTTCGCTTCGCTACAGCGAAAATAAAGTTTAAAAGAAGTATAAATTCACATATCCAAGTGTGTCTTTTATTTCATATTCTGATACAGACTTGGAAATATATCAAATAATTCAGAACATCCTAGATACCAATTCTGTTCTTTCTTTAAGATTTTCATTCACATTAGCATAGATTATGGTTTTCGTATCATTCGTGGACTAGAGATGACATTTATAACAAACAAGGATTCATTTTAAGTCTTGCTTTTTCATGACATTAATTGTAATTAGTAAAAACCACAATCAGAGCGGGCCTGGCATGGCCAGGTGGTTAGGGTGCTCGACTCGCAATCTACGGGTCGCGGGTTCGAATCCCCGTCCCATCAAATATATATATATTTATAAATATGCTCGCTCTTTCAGCCGTGGAGGCGTTATAATGTGACGGTCAATCCCACTATTCGTTGGTAAAAGAGTAGCCCAAGAGTTGGCGGTGTGTGGTGATGACTAGCTGCCTTATCTCTAGTCTTGCACTGCTAAATTAGGGACGGCTAGCGCAGATAGCCCTCATGTAGCTTTAAGCGAAATTCAAAAACAAACAAACAAACACAATCAAAGATAAGTTGGCCGTCTTACCTCACCTTCATCTAACATATTGTTTTCTGCGAAACCTGGTTCAAGTTTGTTTTTCTTCTTATTTAAACATTTAAGAAATTTTATACCAAATAAGAGATAAATAAAATTGCTTAAAATAGAAATATAAAATATGTTACACTTTAAGTTAATTAAGATGAGTAGTTTTAAGACATACATCATTAAGAATGCAAGTAAAAATTAATTTCTAAATATATTACTACGAAATGGCAATAGAAAGAGGACTTTTATTCGGTGAAAATTCAAGATTATAAAAAGAAAGTTTGTGAAATTTCAATTCATAGTTCGAAAGCTTCACTTAGTGAAGATCCTAATGTTTCTTCCAGCTTCAGCCAGACACATTAAATTCGCATTTAATACTCTCTTCAGTTTAATGAAGTTTTTCTCGACTTTACGACAATGAAATAGTCAAGTTGTTTTTCTTACTCGGACTGTCGACAGAGAATTACTGATACGCCTCTCTTCTCCTCCTTCCATGTGTACGCTTGAATTAACGATTTAATTGCGTCGTGCACCTTGGAATTAATAGGGCTTATGCTTTTTGTTGTTTTTTGTAATGTTACACATAATTGCATCATCTAACTTTCCGGACTGCTGTCGTTGTAAATGCAGTGTTTCGAATAATTCTCTTAAATGTTTCGTGAAATAGAATATTAAAAGCTATATTACCAAGCTACGAGTTTATAGAATACAAAACAACACAAGATAATGACGGAACGAAAAGTATCAGATAATCATCGTCATTTTAGAAAATTTTGGAGAAAAGCACTTAGCCTTTATCTAAAGCTAAAACCAATGAGCTACATAACGTTTGCATGTCGATTGTTCTTCTTTACCCCTTCTATGACGTGATTATTTCCAAATATTATTCTGAACGAGCGTAGTCACAAAATTAGAAACACAGAACGTAAAAGAGGTAATGTTACACCATAATGTTTAAGAAATATCTAAAGCAGGTGTAACTTTACAGAAACGTGCTTTATTTAAACGTAAAAGAGGTAATGTTACACCATAATGTTTAAGAAATATCTAAAGTATGCGTAATTTTACAGAAATGTGCTTTATTTAAACGTAAAAAAGGTAATGTTACACCATAATGTTTAAGAAATATCTAAAGCAGGCGTAACTTTACAGAAATGTGCTTTATTTAAACGTAAAAGAGGTAATGTTACACCATAATGTTTAAGAAATATCTAAAGCAGGCGTAACTTTACAGAAATGTGCTTTATTTAAACGTAAAAGAGGTAATGTTACACCATAATGTTTAAGAAATATCTAAAGCAGGCGTAATTTTACAGAAATGTGCTTTATTTAAACGTAAAAGAGGTAATGTTACACCATAATGTTTAAGAAATATCTAAAGCAGGCGTAACTTTACAGAAATGTGCTTTATTTAAGCGTAAAAGAGGTAATGTTACACCATAATGTTTAAGAAATATCTAAAGCAGGCGTAATTTTACAGAAATGTGCTTTATTTAAACGTAAAAGAGGTAATGTTACACCATAATGTTTAAGAAATATCTAAAGTATGCGTAATTTTACAGAAATGTGCTTTATTTAAACAGTTGGAAAGAGCAGAAACCCCCCATAAAGATAACAAAGATAAAAATAAATAGATAGATACATAAATAAATAGAATACAAATACTTTTGAAGTGTACATATGATTGAGTTTTCTGTTTTGTTTCCACTTAAAAGAAAGGACAAAAAAATATAACAACGTTAGTTAGATTCAAAAAAGAGAATTTAGTTTTGTTACTAAGATGTGGGTTCAATATAACTCTAACAATCTTAAATGTTCTAATATGAATCATATAAACTGAATAACAGCCATTAAGACTGTAAACTAGCCCTCTTACTCACACAATCAAGAGCCTAGTGTAACTGTTTATTCATCTTAATTTGTTATTCCAAAAATAACGGAACATATAACTGCCATGCTCTAGGCGTGTATTCACAATGGACGACCCAGTTTAGAAATACAGAGAAAAATGCTTTGGAAGGGGTTTTAATTTAACACCAAGTGAATACTATTTTCAATCAAGGAAACGAGCAAATAGATATGCGTCTAAAAACCAATCGTTTTTAAGGATTCTTTTCAATTTTCTTTCTATAAGAAGCATGTCAACTAATAAAATCCAGAAATGGACATCTTTTGTGTGATTATTGATTTCTTTCTTAAGCTGTTACGTCTTCCTTTTCTCGTATTTCCTTTCAACGGGATATACTATTGAAAGTGAGGAATAGATTAAAATTCGTCGGAGATACATTTCATTTTATAGTAGATGTATAGATACAGGGATAGCACAGATATATTTCACCCAAGACAGGAGAATTTAGCAGCAGAATTATTTGAAACCAGAAGTAGGCTACTTATTTTAACTCTAGCTTATTAGTCGAATGAACTCTGAAAATGAACATGAAGTTAAGCCTCTTGAGAAATGCAAACGTAAACGATAAATTATCATTTGATGAACGCAACCAACCAGGCCTTAAAATCCTATAATACTGAAATACGTATCTTGAAGGAGTTAACTGAACCGTAATCAAGATGGTGATATTTTCAAATCATCTACGAATTAATTTCTTATGCATTGTTTACTTTAGACATGCTTGATTATGTGCACTTTCTTCAAAAAAATGTGGCAAGTGCACTGTTTAATTTGCGGTAGCAAATATCTGTTTACTTATATAAATATCTAGTCGATTTCAAGGGGATCGTTATTTACGATCCCAAGTGACAATGAGCATAAGTATATATAAATCTGTAATAATCGTAATTTGGTAATGAATGCGACCCATCTTGTTTTATACCCATTTCTATTCTAGTCAATATGTCTTCACGTCTGACACTTCAGTGTGATGCTTTATAGTGCTTCTATTTAAAATATCAAAAAAACATTAGAAGTAAATCCCTATAATAGTCGTTTGACATCAGTTTTCTGAGAGAATGTCTATAGCCAATGGTTTACGCTTAGTAACAAAAGCTATAAAATAGATATATTACCACAAAGGATGGGCTTTCACTGATAAATTTGAAGTGTTTCATCCATCTTCATCATTATCGATAAAACTGATATATAAGGTATCAACAGTCTGACTGCATTCTAATACTGTCTTAAAATAATCAGTCCTATCACTGCCTTGATCTTATGTCGTCATTTATAAAGTACAACATCATCAGCAGAGTGACAGGTGAACAAAGCTAAGAAAGAAGGAAGCCTTTCATAATCACCAATAACAAATTAGTCAGTAACTTGAAACGTTTGTATTAACTTTAGACGTTTATATAACTCATAAAGTTTGGAAAATTTGTGCAGGCATGAAATTTTACGTTTTCTGTGATATAACATCAACAAACGTAACAAATAAATAAAAAAATCCAGAGATACAGCTAGCTTTTGAATGGATTATTTATTTATGTTGTTTGTTTGTTTTGCTTTTTACTTTATAACAACGTTTCGACCACTCGTGCGTCATCACCGGGTAAAATGTCGTCTGTTGTATGAAATATTGCGCGAGCAATGAACAACAGTTTACCTGATGATGAACGCACGAGTAGTCGAAACGTTGTTATATAGTTAAAC